AATGAGCACAAGACTAAAATCCTAAACTGATTTACTGCATTCTGTAGTTAACTAATATGACCTGGGATACTGTTAGAAATTCTCTAAATCCAGTTAATTTATTCCTCTGTAAAATGGAAAATACATCACCAAGTTTATCTTCCAAAATTGCTGTCAGGCTAAAAAGAGACAAAATATTGCAAGTTTGCATAGCTTTTAAACTGCCATACATACATATAAGGAATGTTATTTCATTGTTCTTTCAGCAAGATGAAAATGACCTACCAAATCTTTAAACATTCTAAACTCAAAGTCAATTTATCATTTCTGCAGTGGCAAAATTTATTATTCAGATGCCATTATATCAGGATCACTAGAATAACTAGGTCCAAAAAAACATTTATAGTTAATAAGAAATTATGCAGAAGTATTTAATCTGTAACACATGTATGCACACACAAAAAAAATTCCTGACTCTTTCTTTAAGCAAGTTCAGCAGCATATCTATCTGGTAAATCATTTTATAGTATATAGAATCTTAAAAGAAATTTTTTAATTATCTTTTTATATTTTTTTACTATTACATAGTATTTAGTAATTTAAGACTGGGCAATCATTTAATTTTTTTCTGAAATAATTCAAGAATTTGAACACCAAACCACATGCTGGGTTTCAAAGTTACCACTTAATATTCTTACTTCTCATTCTACAAAGTAAAAAATTAAGAACCCTCCTTTCAACAAAAAAAATTTATGCAGAAGAGAGTTACACAGCAGCTCTGAGACTTCTGCCTTTAGAAGGACCTACTTTACAATGTTGTTCCTAAGCTGGCATCTGGATACTTGGCACTTGAACCATTTCCTAACTGATAATGTAATTCACTGCCTAAATTATTTGTATTAACATTGTGCCTTATGGTAAACACCTGATTTTTGAGGGAGGAGTCTAGAATTCTGTTTCATGCTAGGCAGAGAGTACCTTCCTAGGCAACCCAATAAAAGCTAATAAATAAAAAATAATAGACTTCTCTAGGCAGAAAAACTGTATACACACTATCGCTTTGTTCACTGCTAGATAAAGGAACAAATTCAGTGTGTTTCCCCACAGGAGGAAGAGAGTATATGAAAGCTTGTACCTGGATTATTCTCCCAATATGTAGCAAGTTATATATAAGAATCATTAATGCAAGTCTTTCTCAATTAGTGATTAATATCCCATAATCACTCAAAAGTTAAAAAAAATTCAACAGAAATACTATAAATGCCTGATTTTATTTAAAGGTTATAAACTTGAAAAGGAGATTATTTATCTGGTGTAGACTGCATCCTGATTTAAAGTATTTTTTTATCCTATTATATGGGCATGATAGCTTTGAATTGGAGTAGTCAACCATATATTTTAGAGAAAATTATAAAGATAAATTAATTCACTAAGACAATGATCATCATGTACCTCTTATGTGCATAAGACAAATACTTCATCTTGATTTATTGTATTTAGTTCCATATCCAATTATAGATAGCTCAATGCTATTTACCTAGGTATATAAATAAGAGAAATAAGGGGTATATAAGGTATATAAATAAGAAAAATAAAGAACAGAAGATTGTCACAAAGCCTCTTTCCTATCACCTTTAGGAGTTTTTTTTTTAATTGACAAAGAAATAAACTAGGGCTTTTTGTAACACTTTTTTAAAAATAAAATTCACTAATTTGGGTGTAAGTCAAAGAAAGTTAAAATATCTAGCAAATATTCCTATTTGTAGTCATAAATAACATGTATAATTTCTAACTAGTGCTTACTTTAAAATTTGTATAGTCTTTTGTTTATTAAAAACCTAAATACTTAGCTGAGAAGCAAAAAAAAAATGAACTTGTTAGTCTTATTGAATAAAATTTCAAAACAGCTAAAAAAAGACATTTCAAAATATAAATTTTATCTGTTTAAACCCAAGTTTAATTATATAAATTAAAGTAATTTGAAAAGAAAGCTATATAGTTATATACTTACATTTTACATGTTATCAGAAGCCACTATTTCTGCTTTATGCTATACCTATTTTGATGTGATATAATAGATTTGTCACACAGTAACTCTCTTATGAATTTCACTGATTATGTATCATAATATATAAACTTGATTAATTATACATTGTGATTGTAAAGGTGATATGAAAAGAACTCTCACTGGGGTAACTGCAAGATTGAAAAAAGAATATTCATTTACTTACATCTGTACATCAAACAATATTTATAATTCTTCATAAAAATCCAAAAGCCAATCTCAATTATGGAAAAGATACAGCTATACAGATGAGAAGAGGGAAAGAGCTTGGAAAGCAACATACACTAAAACATTAACAGTAATTGTAAGTAACTTTGGTTTTCTTGTTTTACTTTTCTGTATCTTCTGAAGTATTTGTATTCTACAATATATACTACATTTATCAACAGGAAAAGTTACTTAGAAATAACAAATACAACTGTCAAGAAGCTATAAGCTAGCTAGAGTTTCTATGTAAATTAAATGGCAATTTGTTTTAATAAATATGATCAGTTTTTACTGCTATTATACAGCTATTGTAAATGTAATGAAATTCTATTGATCACTAGGTGAAAAAAGTTTTTAATTGCAATTCTTTCCTTTTTCACTGGATTCTGTAT